CAGAGCTAACAATAACATGAAGCTAACACCAACGCAGAGCTAACGCTAACGCAGGGGTAACACTAAAATGAAGATAACACCATGCAGAGCTAACACAAAGTTAACACCAATGCAGAGCTAACACTAACACAGAGCTAATGCTAATGCGGAGCTAATACTAACATTAAGCTAACACTAACACAGACCTAACATGAAGCTAACACCATGCAGAGCTAACACCATGCAGAGCTAACACTAATGCAGAGCAAACACTAACATGAAGCTAACACCATGCAGGCCTAATGCTAATGCAGAGCTAACACTATCGCAGAGCTAACACTAACATGAAGCTAACTCCAACGCAGAGCTAACACTAACACAGAGCTAATGCTAATGCGGAGCTAATACTAACATAAAGCTAACACTAACACAGACCTAACATGAAGCTAACACCATGCAGAGCTAACACCATGCAGAGCTAACACTAATGCAGAGCAAACACTAATGCAGAGCTAACACTAGCATGAAGCTAACACTATGCAGGGCTAATGCTAATGCAGAGCTAACACTATCGCAGAGCTAACACTAACATGAAGCTAACTCCAACGCAGAGCTAACGCTAACACAGAGCTAACACTAACACAGAGCTAAAACCAACATGGAGCAAATAATACTGCGAAGCTTACCCTAACGCAGAGCTAAAGTTAATGCTAACATGGAGCTAACACTGACATGAATACTAATGTGGAGCTAACACTAATGCTAATGCAGAGCTAACACTATCGCAGAGCTAACACTAACATGAAGCTAACTCCAACGCAGAGCTAACGCTAACACAGAGCTAACACTAACACAGAGCTAAAACCAACATGGAGCAAATAATACTGCGAAGCTTACCCTAACGCAGAGCTAAAGTTAATGCTAACATGGAGCTAACACTGACATGAATACTAATGTGGAGCTAACACTAATGCTAATGCAGAGCTAAGGCTAATACTGTGAACTTGTTTAATCACCTGAAACACTGCCATTAACCTGAGGTGTGACAGAAAATGTGGACAAAGCTACAACGCAGCTTCAACTACTTAACTGTTCTTAACTTTATTTAACTTTATTCTGATTATTTTAATCTGCATGAAGCAGACGTTTAATGAACTCACCTGGCAGCAATGCCGCCCTGCCGCAGGTTTGAAACCCGAGGTTTTCCATCTTTGTCGATTCCGCCCGAGACCGTGAGTCCGAGCGTCGTCCCCTCCTTCTTCATCAGCTCCACCACGGTGCAGCCCCGAAACTCATCTACAAAATAAAATAAAGATTTGATTTGAGCACTCCTCCTTCCTCCAGTTTTCTGTCTCTCTGCCCTGATTTCACAGTTTCCCTCTAAAACAGAGAAATAAAAGAATAATCTGTACAAACAGAGAATGGAAGTCATTTTCTATTCTGTCGTTTATTCATATTTTATCAAAGGCTTGAATAATTCAGGAGAGGAAGACCCGAGGAGGGAGATATCTGTGTTCTGAAGCCGTGTGAACAGTTTTCAGGTGATAAAACAGAAAGCAGGATTTCCTTCATGTGGTGTTCTGTAATATTAATGTGACCCGTTTTCATTCAGAGAGGATTCAAACGGCCAATCTTCATCTCTGACAACCTACTCCCTCATCTTCCTCCCACAGAGAGGCTTTACAGGAACTGGACCTGTTTCTGCACAAACCGGCAGGAAAACTGAGGCTCGGAGGAGCAGAACTCTGTCAGAGCTGCACTTTTTTTTCTTTTTTTAACCCCAAACACAAAAACGCTTCCATTCTTCTGTCCTGGATTCACTGCAGGATACAAAGATCAGATCTTCCATCGTTAGAAGATTCATCAGTTCCTGTGAATAATTTACAAACTCCAGCAGTTCTCTGGTTCTGTGCCGTTCTGTTCTGAATCAAACAACTAAAACAATCTACTAAACTCAGCAAAGATAAGAAACRAGCAAAACAGAAGCTAAAATGAGCAGAATGAGCTAAAGTTAGTCAAATGCTAAAGTAAAAACTAGCAAAACAGAAGCTAAAATGAGCAGAATGAGCTAAAGTTAGTCAAATGCTAAAGTAAAAACTAGCAAAACAGAAGCTAAAATGAGCAGAATGAACTAAAGTTAGTCAAATGCTAAAGTAAAAACTAGCAAAACAGA